CTAGTCATTGCGAACAACGAACAAATTAAGAAAAAGGAAGAATTATTTCTGTTTTATTTTACAGTATCATTATTCATAAGTATTTTTGTTGATAAAGCTTATATTTCACACGGTTCATCATTAGTAAAAATTATTTTATTTCATCCTTTTTCTATTACAATTAGTTTTACCTTCCTTCACTTCACTGTGCACTAACCCGGTTCATTAGTTTCATATAATGTTTACAGCTCAACAATACTGATTATAAGATTTACCTTCAATAATTTTTACTGTAAAAAATAATAATTTGGGGAATTGCTGGTGCTTATTGAAAAACCGAAAGAATCTGATAGTAAACTTTGGAAAGGGTATTTGCTTGAAACTCTCTCACAGGAAGGTAAGAACTATTTCTTTCCTACGTTTACTACATTTACAGGACAGGACAGTAAGTGGAAGCTGTAGTGGAAGTTTGTACGTAGCACGCAGTAGCTTAGAAGTTCTGATTACCGAAAAAAATGCAGCCGGCACGAGAATGTCATCTGACAGTACAACGTTTTAAAACAAAAGCATGATAAAGATGCCACAACCAAAAAAGCGGAAACGTCTTAATCATTATAATGCATTAAACACAAAAAATTGTGGTCGAAGACAACTTAATTTGCTTGAAGACACATTTCTTTTACTTCCTTCTTTCTGTCTGCGAAAATAGTTCAAAAACAAAATTGCTGGGACCAAAGAAGTTAATGTCGTTAAGGTGGTTATAAAGATACGTGTTCAGTGAGAGCTCACCAGTACGGTATTTATTCTTAATATCTGTATATTTCTTGAATGCTTCGCACTGTGGCAAACTGAAGCGTTCTTACTGGTCCTTTTTCAAATAGAAAGCTATACTTGTTCAGTATGTATTGATATCAACAACAACCAGTAGTACTCTGCATTTCAGTTTATGTAAAAATTGTAAGAACCGTTGAAAGACGTAGTGTGAAGTAACAAGTCTTACTTGGCTTTTTAAAAATTTCCTATATCTTTGGATTTTTCCGCAAAGGATACCAGTAAAACACGGTCGTGAACTGATAATCAGTCTTGCCTATAAGATTCAAAGAGATCCTGCTAACCATTATAAAATACAGAATACTGCAAGCTGATGTCAATCACAACATAGGCCGAGGACAAAAAACTATCATTTCACAGAAACTGCATGACCCGATCCCACACCGCATAGTTCAAAACAGTACAAGACAGCGTATACAACCGCTAAAATACTGTCAGCTACGCTTACCCTTCACTCCACTTTTACCCTACTCTACTCTGCGAGACTGAAGACGACTCTGCTGAACTGCTTTTGAGTACGCTTTTGCTGTAGATTATGTTGACGACAAAGTTGCCGCGGTCTCCAAAGAGCGAACTTATAAAGTTTATCGCAGAAACCCTTTCCTGTCCCTCCTTTCTCTCCTCCCTTCGCCTGCCTTCACTAGCCGGCAGAGTAGCAGACGAGTGCCTGAAAACATTTCGTTAGACGCTGGTCTAGATCCACTGAGGGGTTAAAAGAATCACAAAAAACCTTATTGTTTTCCTGTGCCTTCAGTACTGTTTCTGACCCCCCTTCGATGTTGAAAACCGACTGCCATTTTTTGTCCGGTTTTATCTTTTTCGTCTGTTCCTCATTCCTGCCTTGTTCGTTAGCTTATTTCACTGCTATTCGTTGTCATCGAACGCTTTTTCAGTTTTAAGCATAAGACCGTAAAGAACGAATGAACTAACGATTTTACGGTGGCTCAGTATGGGTGTTTCTTGTAGCACCACCTCCACCTTTCTTCATTCTTCGTGTGCCCGTTCTTCAAAACGTCATCAAATCGATGGTACAGAATCACTGAGCATAATACACTCACATTTAGTTATCTTGAACCAGTTACTTGATCAGGTTTGTATAATAAGTTTCAAAGATTACCTTACAAATTTTTTGTAGATATACAGTAAGTTATTGGTCTTTTGCTTAATAACAGCTATTCAATGCGATAATGTACGTAATTCTATGCAGCTGTCCACCTTCCAGAATAAGCTTCACAGATGTTAGAAGTGATTTTTACAACCACTTTGATAGCAAAAGACAGGATCTCATATTTGTGCAAATATTTTGTTCTGACCAGTCAAAAGTAAAAAAAAAAAAAAAAAACAGCCGTTAACTAACGCAGTATTCCTCCTTCTTGCCCAAATTTGTTTTTCATTTTTATGATAATCTGCGGAAGCAGTTATAATTGGCATTGGCATTAAGTGTTCAACGACTATCAGGTACTTTCTCCAGCCCAGCCCAAAGTAAAAGTTTAGTGCGCATCAGCATACAAGACAGTAAAGTGAAATTGATTAGCCAGTAACTCTTTCATGATCTCTCAAAGAACTCTGAACGCACTGACCTTTACTTTCAGTCAACCTAAAGCACAAGCTAAGTTTTTTTTCAAGGTCATCGGTTTCAAAATTTTTTATTTAGAAATAGTTATTTTTGGAGCAAAATTGGTGCAAATAATTTCTTTGTTATTAAACAGCCGTTTTTTTTTTTTT